TGACCTGGACGCGGGACCGATTTCTTTTTCGTTTTGAGGTCCCTAGAGGCCAAAAACACCATCCGTTCAAATTCATATATATATATATATATTTATATATTTGTATATTTATATATATATATATATATATGTGTGTGTGTGTCCGTTAGCACGATAACTCGAGCAAAAATGATCCGATTTTGATGAAATTTGGTACAAACGTGTAAACCTACGTTTATTCGAACGAGTTCGCGATCCAGCATGATCGGACCATGTGAACGGGGGTTTACGGGGGGTTATGGGGTAAAAATAGGTTTTTCCCATTTTTGACCAAAAAAAAACATATAATTTTGCAATTTCTTTCCAAACCATGTTGTAGAGCTTAAAAAAACAAATAATTTAGTATATTGAAGCGTTATTATGCGCCTAATGGTTACGGAGAAAATTCCAAAAAATTGTAAATTTAAAGATCCCATGTTATTCTTATGGAGAATAAGTAAACTGTTGTAGTTTGCTTGTTTATGAACATATTTTGATCAAAATTGGAAAATGTTTTTATTTCTTACTAACTATTAACATTTTACAAAAAAAAAAAAAAACAGTTTTACCCTCCCTGATGCAGCAAACCTAAGTACTTGTTAAACTAATTCTATTTAAATCGGAAATAAATGTTATATTTTTAAGTAGACATTTCAGTGTAAATCCAATCAGTCAAATGGAAATTCGCTTAGTCTGCAGGTTTGCTGCGGCGGGGGTATTAGTTTTTATATGTTCCTGACTTTAATTAAAGAAATTGTCCAATGATTATTTCTAATGAAAAGACAATTAGTCATTATAGTGAAGCGAAAAGTAACGTTCATAAGACAAGTTATAGTGGGTCATTACATAATCTCGACCATAACTAATGTGCAAGATTTATCGAGCAGAATAAACTAGTCGATGAACGACCTGAGCAACTAAAGACAATTAATATATTGATGGGAATATCTACATACTTCTCTTCACTGCAGAAGTATTTCAGTAGTATCATTTATGTACAAATGATAACTAATTCCGACGGTTTGTGATGACTCACGTTCTCGTAGTTTAAGTATTGATGGTTTTCCATTACCGGTAACGTAACATAGCATCCAGGTACTTACAAGAATTTCAATTTCCCCTTAACTCCAGGGAGTTTCTACCGTTGCAGACTTATTTACGGAGTCGAGGGCAGGTTGCTGAATAAGTAACTAGGGTTTTAAGAGTTCTACTGGTATAATTCTTCAACCAACATCCAGTGTATAAGATAGTTCCCAGGACTGTATGTACTGTATGTCGTTTGATCTAGTTATACTGGTACTGTAAAGCTGATACAGCAGAACTGTAAAGCGAATATGTTATTTTAACGAGGTATTTGATACAGTGTGTCTATTTAAGAAATACAGTTCTTGTAAGAATAACATTAAAGTTTCTCCGATCACGAAAACCTTTCTAAACATATTTCTAAAGTCGTAAGAGCGGGTTAAACTAAAAGAAACGTGGAAGCCTTATGGTCAGGTATGTATAGTTTTGTCACAGCCAAAAACCATTTCTTTTTCCTTCATAGATATCTCCACTCTGAAGGGATTCTGTACATAGCTGAATATACAAGGGTTTCTAATTATTATATGATTTTTGATTGTTGTTGGGATTCTTTGTGTATTTACGTAGTAGTTCTTTTTATCGTGTTTTTCGTATCAAAAGAAATACCTTTCGTGACCTAAGGAACGATGAACTTCTTTAAATATATTGTGGAATCACGTCTATTATTATAAAAGTATAAGTAAACCTTAGTTGGGCCACTTTGTGTTATACAACTTTCGATGAATTAAATACACAAATAGATTTTTGGAACAAAATTAAAACAATAACTACGGTCTATGGAAATTTAAACAAAGTAAGTAAATATCAATAGAACAAATGTAAGCGCAAATGTTCTCTTTGTTTGCATGAAAAACATTTACTATTTACTAGCGAAATCTCTGATGGAAACTTAATCAATTTAAGCCAATGATGAGGCGATTTTTTAGCTCACCTCGTAGAGAAATTGCTGATAATTTATCATGAATAAATAATATCAAGTTACGATATTTAGGATGCAAATGCTAACGAAGGTGATATATCATGTGTGTATTGATACAAAGGCTCTAGCCCCACACGTGAGACGAGCATACATCATGTCTGATAGCCGCTGTGTATGTTAACATACATGCTGACAAGCCACTACGGCACTTAAGTGTCTAAGTACAAACTCTAGAAAAGAAACTCTAGTAAACAAACTCTAGAAAAATTTAAAGAAAGCATACAATATACGTAGATTAATATAAAAAAACATTTTTTTGATTGTCATACGTACTTATCAAAAAATTATTTCAATTGCCGGAATTTCTATAACAATTCAAATGCTGTATAAAATGGGAAGCTCACGTAGGTTGAAGATGTATTCTATAAAAATGTGTAACAAAACATCAGCTAGACTGACAGAGGATTAACTCGTCGGAATATTGTATCGTGTTACAGTCACAGATGGTCTTCACATAATGAAATCCTCATTGAACCTGTGTCGTTAAATGTACTCTAAATACGGTGATTCGTTGGGAGTGAATCGAAATCAACAATTCGATTAAATAATGTTATAATATGTAATTTTTCAACCCTTTGCTACGAGTAACTTGCTATGGTCGTAGTTTTTGATAAAGTAGTAATGAACAGAAGTTTTTAATTACTTATTGCATTTTTTGTTCATGTTGGAACATGTAAAAACGCAATAAATTCCGAGTTAAGGATAAATTTGCACTAAACTTAATCTAATTTATTACCATAGTGCATACAATTTTTAGATAGAATAGCAACTGTAAACAGGTTAGGAGAAACCAAATAAATAAGTGTGTGAATTAAAAAGGCTAATTTATCATACTGTTCGTAAAATAATTTGTAGGTAAATAGTTTCGTATTTAAAGTTACAACTCAATTAATAAGCCACCTTTTGGGATAGCAAGTGAATATAATTTCGATGATCTTCTTATACATTTGAGCATAAACGTATGGTAAAATGCACCAAAATGTTTATCCTTTTATATGCAAATATTTAATTACGAACCGGTATTAAATCAAAACTGCAGCGAGAACAATCTTTAAAAGCTTTTAAACACCTCGTTTTATTTAAAACAATTCCTCAAAATCACTTTAATTTATGAATCTTCCAGGATTTCATATGTCCTTTTAAAATTTAAATATCCATTCCCTTGGCTCAGTAACGCACATTTTCACAGGAAAACCCATTTCCATTCCAGTCTCGCGGGCCGACCGCCCGTGTATCTCACCTAATTAGTCACATATCATAATTACATGAAACAAACAGGCGTAATTCGTCATTCTTGTGTCACATTATCTCACATTTCCACCTTCCCATTTGTGTTTTGGACTTTTACTGGCTTTGTAGTAATAATTAGGGTGTTTGAACATAAGGAAATCAGTGAGGGTTCTAGGTTTAAAATTAACAAAAAGGTACACATCCCATTTCCGTAAAAATTACGGTGCACGTTTTATTTGTATTTTGAGAATATTTATGATAATTGGGTCAAAATAAAAATTATACTTTTCTTATAGAGATTTAACATGGGGCCAATTCTATAAATTAATAGGCAAGCATGTTTATTGAAAACTGTTTTTCTTAGCTCCTGAGCATCGCAGGGAAAATCTACGCATATTGTTAGAAAAATATTTGCCTGTAGATGTGCAGAATCCCTTTAAAAATTCAAATAGGCTCAAAAGAGCACAAAAATGAATTTAAAATTAAAAAAATAGCATGGGCCTTATGTGTTGCCATGTTAGTGACGAAATAACAACAAAATATAAACGGAAATCAAAGCAAATGGAATAAATTCCAATCACATGATTTATTTACAGCGTGGGGTGAAAATAGAGAAATTTGCACAAAACATACTTTTGGTCGAGTTTTCGACCAAGGGGCGAGCTATATTGTATGAAAACGCATTTTCATAAAATAATTCTGCGAAAGTAATAATTTGATTACTTACCATTAATACCATTAATGTCTAGCGGGTTTTATTGGCTTAATTTCAGTTCCAATTTAATTACATTTAACAACCCATATTCACATTTTCATCACTCAAAATACAAGTTTCAATAGAAACATTCTTAACATACGAAAGATAAGCCTGTTTTGACACGAGTTATTAAATGCATTCCACGAACACTAACGATTTCATAGTCCATTTAGTGAATATGAAAACTTTCACAGAACTGTGATGATATGAGAAGCTTTGAGAACTTTTGGTTGTTTTATGGCAGCTTAGAATTCTAAATTACTTTCAACCTTTATAAAAGACAACATATTTGTGTTATTTTGTATACTTACTCGTTTTGACTTGTATAAGTAGCGTAAATATCAAAACGCCATTTTTAACTTTCCCATAATACATATTTTTAATTTACTTGCATCTAATATAGTTTAGTTGAATTTCCACAGTACGATCATTATATAAGCTGACTGATCTAGTGTTACCTCATACATGTCCATTAAACTAAGGATACGAAACATTGACCAGACATTAAATTATGTAACTATAAATTACATTGCAAAAAGAATGCCCTGTACTAAAAATGTAAACAGTTAAACAAAAGGCTACATATAAACACGATTTCCAACCAAACCAATTGCTTAAATTATAAAACAAGGCTATTTAAAAGAATTTAACGACATGTATAACTGGTATTATGTCTAACAAATATAGATATGCATTTCAAGAATAAATTACGAAATTCATTGGGTGAAAGTGTTGAATAAATAGAAACCCTCAGAGGACCCTGGACCAGTAAATGGACGACGACGCTTATGGTATATTCCCTTTTCCAACAACCTTTAAAAATTAAACACTCACAAATTAAATTTAACATTCACGAACAACTCAACGTCGCTTTAGTTTTATTCAAATGTATTGCTTGTATTTGCTGCTTAATTTGCAAATGTTTTGTTGCAGATAACACATATAGGCTGCCCTCCAATTAGGGTAAGTGTAAAAAACCATAATTATTAGTAAGGTCTAATGTAGAAAATGTGAATTTGATACTTATTATATAAGATCAAAATATGCTATAAAATGGTAAGAAACATTGACAGCTTTATTATGATGAATATTTGAAAATTCAAAAATGGTGTACAAATACTAATCTTGTGCCTCTGACGAGTGATGTTCAGGTCAACATTACGTGTTGTGTGTCACAGTATCACGTTACTGACAGTGACTCGCCCGTTACAACGTTACAGCTACACAGACCAGAGATACACCACAATGATGATAAGTGACTTGTGACTAATGACGAGTAATGTCCAGGTCAACATTACGTGTTGTGTGTCACAGTATCACGTTACTGACAGTGACTCGCCCGTTACAACGTTACAGCTACACAGACCAGAGATACACCACAATGATGATAAGTGACTTGTGACTAATGACGAGTAATGTCCAGGTCAACATTACGTGTTGTGTGTCACAGTATCACGTTACTGACAGTGACTCGCCCGTTACAACGTTACAGCTACACAGACCAGAGATACACCACAATGATGATAAGTGACTTGTGACTAATGACGAGTAATGTTCAGGTCAACATTACGTGTTGTGTGTCACAGTATCACGTTACTGACAGTGACTCGCCCGTTACAACGTTACAGCTACACAGACCAGAGATACACCACAATGATGATAAGTGACTTGTGACTAATGACGAGTAATGTCCAGGTCAACATTACGTGTTGTGTGTCACAGTATCACGTTACTGACAGTGACTCGCCCGTTACAACGTTACAGCTACACAGACCAGAGATACACCACAATGATGATAAGTGTCTTGTGACTAATGACGAGTAATGTCCAGGTCAACATTACGTGTTGTGTGTCACAGTATCACGTTACTGACAGTGACTCGCCCGTTACAACGTTACAGCTACACAGACCAGAGATACACCACAATGATGATAAGTGACTTGTGACTAATGACGAGTAATGTTCAGGTCAACATTACGTGTTGTGTGTCACAGTATCACGTTACTGACAGTGACTCGCCCGTTACAACGTTACAGCTACACAGACCAGAGATACACCACAATGATGATAAGTGACTTGTGACTAATGACGAGTAATGTCCAGGTCAACATTACGTGTTGTGTGTCACAGTATCACGTTACTGACAGTGACTCGTCCATTACAACGTTACAGCTACACAGACCAGAGATACACCACAATGATGATAAGTGACTTGTGACTAATGACGAGTAATGTTCAGGTCAACATTAAGTGTTGTGTGTCACAGTATCACGTTACTGACAGTGACTCGTCCATTACAACGTTACAGCTACACAGACCAGAGATACACCACAATGATGATAAGTGTCTTGTGACTAATGACGAGTAATGTTCAGGTCAACATTACGTGTTGTGTGTCACAGTATCACGTTACTGACAGTGACTCGTCCATTACAACGTTGCAGCTACACAGACCAGAGATACAACACAATGATGATAAGTGACTTGTGACTAATGACGAGTAATGTCCAGATCAACATTACGTGTTGTGTGTCACAGTATAACGTTACTGACAGTGACTCGTCCACTACAACGTTACAGTTACACAGACCAGAGATACAACACAATGTTGATAAGTGACTTGTGACTAATGACGAGTAATGTCCTCCAGGTCAACATTACGTGTTGTGTGTCACAGTATCACGTTACTGACAATGACTCGTACATTACAACGTTACAGTTACACAGACCAGAGATACAACACAATGATGATAAGTGACTTGTGACTAATGACGAGTAATGTTCAGGTCAACATTACGTGTTGTGTGTCACAGTATCACGTTACTGACAGTGACTCGTCCATTACAACGTTGCAGCTACACAGACCAGAGATACAACACAATGATGATAAGTGACTTGTGACTAATGACGAGTAATGTCCAGATCAACATTACGTGTTGTGTGTCACAGTATAACGTTACTGACAATGACTCGCCCGTTACAACGTTACAGTTACACAGACCAGAGATACAACACAATGATGATAAGTGACTTGTGACTAATGACGAGTAATGTCCAGGTCAACATTACGTGTTGTGTGTCACAGTATCACGTTACTGACAGTGACTCGCCCGTTACAACGTTACATCTACACAGACCAGAGATACAACACAATGATGATAAGTGACTTGTGACTAATGACGAGTAATGTTCAGGTCAACATTACGTGTTGTGTGTCACAGTATAACGTTACTGACAATGACTCGTACATTACAACGTTACAGTTACACAGACCAGAGATACAACACAATGATGATAAGTGACTTGTGACTAATGACGAGTAATGTTCAGGTCAACATTGTGAACCTCTGAACGTACACTCTGGTTATTTTTCTGAAAGCATTCTTATGTACTTTTTAGCTTACAAATGTCAAAATACGAACATAACTGACCAGTGTTTTCGCTAGGATTTTATTTCGTTATTTTGTATTCTTTTTAATTTGAATTATATGTGTGTTATGTACGCAATAACGTCCTAATGAGGCATACTATTTAGGTGTAGTATTTCTTAAAGTAATGCATTTCAGTTAGAGAAGGTCATGAGCATGTCTTTTATTTGTAACTTTTTTATACACTATAACAAAATTGTATTCGTTTTATGGTTATAAGTTTTTGTGGTTATAGTAAATGTTATGACTTGTGATTTTTGAAGTCGTCGTAGGCTATGAAATAGATATGTATGCTAATTACAATATATGTAAGAATGGGAGTCTTTATAGATAAAAATATTCTAGCGTTTAGGTCGATTCTTTTAGTTCATCTATATTTTTCCAAAGTACTTTTGATTTTGTCAATCAATATTACGACAAAAGAAATATAGAATATGTAAATACTTTTAATAAGGAAAAGCTTTAGGCGATAGGTAAATATTCAACAGTTTTAAGCTGCGCCCATTATCGGTTTGGAAAAAGATAAATTGTTTTCGAAAACAATGGAATATAAACCTTTCACATAAATTGAAGTATATAATTGGGTTTGGCCGTCATTGGAGGTAATCCGCGTGTCAGCCACCGCACACTTTGTCCGACGTACTCGCAGGTTTGTCAAAATTGCATTTTAAACAATAAAGTCCGTCACATCGATTCGATGTTAGCACACGTGTATGTAAAATTGTCAAAAACAATAGAGTGTAAATCTGCATGGATTCTACTATTTAACAATGTACTCTAATAATAAATTAAATTACAAATTCGTTGAGTAAGAAAAAATTTTAGATTGTGTGGTTTATAGCCTAATATATGGTGATGTATTGGTGTTTATTGATAAAATATCTTCTAAAAAACATTTAAATTTGGAGAAATTTTAAAATTAGTTATTTGCATGAAAAATAGGCCTGTACAACTAAAAAGTATGAAATTGCGATAACCGGTTGTTTTATTATCAGAACACACAATATAGAAGTTCCAGCAATAATACCCCCGCCGCAGCAAACCAGCAGACAAAGCGAATTTCCATTTGGCTGATTGGATTTACACTAAAATGTCTCCTTAAAAATATCATATTTATTCCCTATTTAAATAGCATTAGTTTAACGAGTACTTAGGTTTGCTGCAACAGGGAGGGTAAAAAGGTTTTTTTTGTAAAATATTAATAGTTTAGTATGAAATGAATCAATTTCTAAATTTGATCAAAATATGTTCATAAACAAGCAAACTACAACAGTTTAATCTTCAAGTAGAACTGTTAATATTGGAATTATACTAATTTTAAATAATAACTTCGCCAAAAATTAAAATAAAACAATTAAAATTTAACAATGTACTCTAATAATAAATTAAATTACAAATTCGTTGAGTAAGAAAAATTTTTAGATTGTGTGGTTTATAGCCTAATATATGGTGATGTATTATAAAAGATCGCCTTATAAAATAAAAATTAAAAATTCAGAAATATTGGCGAAGTTATTATTTAAAATTAGTACAACAGTTTACTTATTCTCCATAAGAATAACATAGGAATTTTAAATTTACATTTTTTTTGAATTTTCTCCGTAACCATTAGGCGCATAATAACGCTTCAATATACTTGTATTATATATATTTGTTTTTTTAAGCTCTACAAAATGGTTTGGAAAGAAAATGCTAAATTTTAAGTTTTTAGGGTCAAAAATGGGAAAAACCTATTTTTACCCCATAAAAACCCTCGTAAACCCCCGTTCCCATGGTCCGACCATGCTGGATCGCGAACTCGTTCGAATAAACGTACGTTTACAGGTTTGTATCAAATTTCATCAAAATCGGATCATTTTTGCTCTAGTTGTCGTGCTAACGGACATGGTGTTCGATTATCAATAATTTTTCATTTTTAAAAATGAATATACATATATATATACATATATATATATATATATATGAATTTGTACGGATGGTGTTTTTCGTCTCTAGGGACCTCAAAACGAAAAAGTAAATCGGTCCCGGGTCTAGGTCTTACCATGAGTACTACGGTAATAGCTTATTCCCTATATGGGAAATTCGCTAAAAAAAGAAAAACATTACTTTATTAAATTATTTTGTTTACATACGTACTGCACAACTTAAAACAGCTCAAATGAAAATTGGAAATGAACACGTAAAGGTTAAATTTAATTTCCAGTAATTGTATTTGGACTGTCACTCTCTTTAATCCTCTTGGTTTGTTTCAATTTCTGTTAGATTTAACTTGTCTGTTGGAGTTTCAGTGATTAGTGGATAAAGTAAACACTTGCATCAACATGAGAGGAATTGAATATAAAATTAAATTACTTGTATGTTCTTTAATTGTAAGATCTGTCATTCATCCAGTTATCTCATTGCATCTGGTTTATAGTTTTAAATGCAAAGAATTACTGCAATGGTGGAACAGTCGTATCAGAATTTCACAAAAGGGAGCTTCCAATGCTTATGCAAAACGTAAGCAGCATCCGCTCAAATTATTTAGGGTTGATA